AAGCCAGGCAAGACAGGATAATTGAGATTGAGGTGGCGAAAACCTTCAGAATATTGTCTGCGTATTTGATGACTACGGCTATACAAAGACCACCGAAGGACTGGAGGGCAATCACAAGGATCACATTTAGATTGTAACCTTGGAAGAATCCGTACTCGGCAACCGCCTTATGGTCTGTCAGGTAGACACCAATAAAGGCTAGGATGGAGCCCCAGAAACCTGGTGATCACAAGGAAGAGAAGATGACTTGGTAAATGGAATGGTATGAGCGGATTGGAAGGCACATCGGTCAAATGCATAAGCGTGTTAGAACTTGATGAAGCCCGAAATAGGTCGGATGTTTTGAGCACTCCTATAGGTCATAACAGACTTTGTAGAATAAAGGCATGAACGACCAGCAGGAAAAGCCACGCCTTGCGAAACGGTGATGAACTGTGTCGACTATTCGCGTTCGCTGCAGGCCTTTCGACGTAAAACCAGAAGCCAAGCGATTTGTGCTGGTAGTGCATCCTTTATGGTCCCGTGCCAGTTTACGCATAATATGAGTACTACGAGCTAAACAATGTGAGCGCTCGCGTGCGGGAGCAATCTTCTGGAGACGAAACTAAACTTAGCAACCAATTTTAACCTGTTCGAATCTGGTTTTGAGTGATGATCAGGAATTGCCGCTGAAACACCCCAGAGCGGAAAAGCCCGAATTAGCTATTCTGTTAAGACTGAGGGAATCAAGCACACATGTTCCTGTTAGAGGTCACCCTAATCGAATCAGCTGGCGGCAAAGCTGAAGTCGACGTACAAGCAGGCAGCAACCGCACTCAGGCCAGGCTATCGATCCACTTACACATGACGAATGTAAACTGACAATCAATCAATAATTCGAAATTTAAATCTGCGGCCAGACTAGGACTCTGAAAAGCCAATCGATTCGCCACTCGCTCGAGGACAGTATCTGATTGGTCCGATAGGCATGAATGTACACGCGTTTGTTTACCTTAAATGTTGTACGAAGTACGCTAAAAGACGTTTGCTTTTGCGTACCTTCTTCCTCGGGGATTTACACAAGGTATAATTAGACAACGATATGCCGGCTTGGTAACATTTACAAAAGTTCTAGAGTCTACAAGCGAACAAGCCCAGTTAAAAGTAACTAAAGGAAGTAGAGAGAGAGAGAGGGGTTGCAGATAAAAACACATTAACTATTTAAGATTTAGGACTCGTACGCGAATCAATCATCAGCGACGATAAAAAGACCAAAGAAACGTCTTTTTAACATTTCACCGTGCACACATTTACTGCGCCAAGAAGTTGATCCCTCAAGACCGCCGTCGGTCAGTGAACTCGAGCTGTACTTTGCGGCAAAAAACGAATCTATTATCGCCATGTGACGGACACGCCCGAAGAAAATGTGATGGGACAATTTATAAAGTAAAATTTCTCGGGTGTTATTAATGCGGGAGTCACCGATTTTGATAAACAATTTTACTTATGCAGTAGGTATAAAATTACAACAATATGGTTGGAAGTACCGCTTACGTAAATTCGTTAAAATTAATAGAAAAGTAGTTTTTTATCATTATTTTATGAAAGGTAAGAATAAATTTTGTGGGTATTTATTTTTTGTAGTAAGGCACTGAAGGGCCGAGGGTTGGCCACTCGTCCCTCTAGCGCGTAGCAGTCGGCTGTCAGGGAACAGATGCTTGTATAGGGCGCAGTGACTGACAGGAACATAAAATGTCGACGCACGACAGTAGTAAGCACGAGCGCGAGGCGTGTGAGATACGTTTAGTCTTTTAAATGTGGATCGTAGAGCAACGTTCATAAACCAACATACAGTAAACAAATTAGATAAAGGGCTAGTAGTAATGTTAAGAATTTATACGAAGAGTAAAAGGGTAAAGGAAATCTACTCTGAGAATGGCTCACCCAACTGAATGTTTCGGACCCAGAGGGAGGGAGCAGTATCTTTCATCAATTTTTCAAAATAGACGCCAGCAAAACCACTCGATACACTGGCCGTAATCACCGCAAATAGGCCCAATATGGGCCTCTGAGTCTCCTTGGATACCGAAGCGGAGCTGCTGCCAGAAGTCGGCGCCAGCTGTAGGTGTAAATAAGAGCGTACAAGGTTGAGTAGACCGTGCCTGAACTAATCACTTGTGAAGGCTCAAAGCTTACTAATCTATGTGGTTAGAAACGTTCGCAGTCTGTAAAGTATGTGTGCTCGTGTAAAATAAGTGAAGTTTGGAAAACAAAGTCGTCACTAATTGAGGCAAATGTTCGCATCGCAGGTATGTGTATGGATCAAGAAGAAGCCAGGTCGATCACCGGAATCATTGTTTTATTAGTCTGACAAGCGGCCGGTGTTACCTGCTTGAAAATTCACGAATACAACTCGATTTAACGAAGGCCTTCTTACTTTTCATTATATCATTCCGTAATTCAAACTACTTCACTTATCCAATATAGGCAAGTGTTCACAGTCTAAAAAAATCAGCATTGCTGCTACATTACACAAGCATTAAGTGTGCCCAAAGGGGGCTGGGCAAACTTTCTTGCCAGGGCAAGATCACAGGACGCAGAATCCTCACAAAGACGCACCTGCGTTACTTCTATGGAAAAGGATGAAAAATGCATAAATGCCGAGCGACTATGGCTGAGATTTAAAAATGAGCTTAACAAAAAAGCTCACCTGAACAAAGGCTACTCCAAAGAGAAGAATCCCAAGAGACACCCATTGTTGGAGAGAAATACGCTTGTGCAGCATAACAACCATAAATATGGCGGTTGTGAAGATTTTCAGTTGGTAGGTTATTTGGTAGGTCGCAGCATCGAGATTGGATAAGGCCACAAAGAGAAGATTATTTTGCAGCGTATAGAGGCCCGAAGGAATGGCCAACTTCAGCAGTTCAATGGGTTCGTGCACGACTTTTGTGTAAATCTCAGTATGCGTATCGGCAAGAGAGAAACCTGAAGTAGGCGGGGGAAGGGGAGGGGAGTTAGAGGGGTTCACTTAAGCGTGGACCGACCAGAGGTGACTGCCCAGGTTTGCAAGGTTATCAGGAAAGTAGTGTCAACAGGAGTTCCGACCATAATACTGCTGGTATAAAAATACGCCAATCTTGATGATGCAAGTGCTGATAGCTAATCCCGGGTGATTTCGAAATCCATATTTCTGAGCGGTACTCAATAGGCATTTCCTTACGGTCGGACAGCCTGATATTCACTTTCAATTCTCGGGCAGCTACGTGTTCCGTTGAGAAACCTGATTATCCGCCAGGGCATGCAAGGTTTACGTCAACCACAGTAAGGAGATGAATCTATTTGTGGTCTCTGCGTTTAGCTTGCGATAGCCAGTCAAGCAGCTCAACTATCAACCTGAAGCTGTGTCTTGTTAGAACACATGTGGACGCCAAATCTGGATCTTATTTTGTCAAGCCATGTCTTTGAATTTCTACAGTACCTAGTCTTAGCTCAGAATTTACAGAGAACCATCTGTCTAATAGAAAGCAAACGTCTTCAGAAATAAACTAGTCATGGAAGTTTAGTAATTCCTATAACAGTATTAATAGTTCAGTAATAGGACATACATCCTATTCTATAAATTTAGCATAACAAGTGAGAATATCAGCTTACTACCCGAGGCGATTGTGTAGGCACCTGGTCTTATCCAGCAGGTAAGAATTTCAACTAACCTCACATTGTTACCACTGATAGTACACCGCCTAACTTAGTCTTCAGTGACAGTAGACTTTGCGCGGGTACTACCGCACTACATACTCTCATTTACCTTCAGTAGGTGTCAACACAGGCCCACGGAGGCCGAGACTGATACGGCTAATACTATTATTACTAACTAGCAATGTAGTCGATTGTTAATATTACTGGTAC